TTTTCCCCCCCCCCCCCATTTGTTTCAGTAGGGAGATCAGGATGTTCTTTCTAAAAGCAAAACAGTTCCAAAAAATCTTGACATGCTTTTTCCCATCCCCTCAGGGCACCGAGCCTCAAAGCTGTTTTTAACCAGAAACCACCACATTAACACGTTGTTATGCATAACCCAAAAACACCCGCAGTTAGGCAGCATCTATCACGCAGGACCAGCAACTCCACAAGCAGAGCTCGCATCCCCACATGCCTCAGGCTTCTCTCTCGGTGCTCCCAGCCCAGCTTCGCAGCCGGGGGACAGTTACCCCCTCGGATCGGTCACCAAGAGAGGGAACGAGCGGCTTTAACAGGTGCCAACACGCACACGGGATCGACCCTGCTATTCAAATCTACCGAAGATCTACCCGACGCAGCCAAAAATCTCATGTGCCCTTGAGGAGGGAGGCGTTTACGGAACACACCACAACCCAGCGAGCACAAGTTACAACTGGACTAAAGAGAAGGCAAAAACCGGGTGTGCCTGGCAAGCAGTTGGCAACGCTGCAGAGACAACGCTGCTTTGGCCACGGGACAGCACTCGAGTTAATCAATGCGACCCTGCCCATCCACGCACTCCACTCTACCGGCTGAGAGCTCCCAGCCTCCCCACAGGGACCTTTAGCCAAATGCTGGTGTGTGAAAAGTTTTCTGGAAGGAGTTAAGAGCCGTGCCAGGCCCTATCAACATCCCCAACGCCAAACCTCCCTGCTGGATATCTCCACCGGTCCTTACCTTGATCGCTCTCCTGACTATCATGATGGCATCGTGCAGGGACCGTTCCGTCTCTTCCATGAACTGCTCTGCACCCCCTCGCAGGATTATTGTGCAAGTCTTTGCCTTCGGGCAGCCTGTGAAGAAGTTATACCTGCCAACGGCACAGCACAAGAAGGGTTAAAGCAACGGAGAAGCAGCGCTGCTGAACAGGTTTGCACCGATAGGACAGTACGGGAACAGAGAAGTTCTCTACGAGCCCGATGCGTGACTGAAGCCATTTCACCCTACTGTCAGGTCTTGAGCTAAGAAGGAGCAGAACCAGGCAATACGCAAGTGAAATTCAAGCTGACCCAGGAAAATCCACTCTCCTCCTGTTGCTAGGGCTTCGCACTAAACCAGTGCTCTCATTTTCACTTGGCAGGGACACAGCAGATGTCAGCAGACAGCCCCAGAGAGGATTTCTCCTCCAGCGACGGGAAGAACCCCATTATGTAGTACCCAGCTCCATCTGCACCGACAGTAACCACTGTGGGCTATCAGACCGAGCACCACAATCAACCCCAAAAGGCGCTGCTTTTAAGTTACGAATGAAAGAATATCACTGCGCTTTCTACAAGGCGCTGGGGAATAAATATGTGTTTTTAAAAGCATATAAAAGAGGTAAGATTTAGATGAAAGCTTACTCCTGCTCCCTCCCTCAGCCTCATAAAAAGTAGCAATAACGCAATCTCGTTTTCGCACTGTCACCTTGAGAGATGCTCAAAACGCTTAGACCCTACTTAACTTTTCAAACTAGCATTAGAGCTCTCACACAGGACTACAGGTTCACAGCTGGTGTATTTACCTCTCTCCTCCAATCTGAGTCTCCTCAAAGAGTTCGCATCGGCCCAGAACATCATCCGACAGGGCATTGACACTAGTCTGAATGGAACCGCCGCAGGCCTGCATGGAAAGGAGATAAAGCGCGGCATTGCCAACACTGACAAGCGAATTTGCCCAGCAGGCTCCCACCCTTCAGAGACAGCCCGGCCTTTAGCTGATGTAAAACTGCCCCATAGGCCAGATTCGGGGGGCGTGGGGGGGTGGAAAAAAAGAAAAAAAAAAAAACCCCACACGCTCTTTTACATTCCTCCTGTCTCATGCATCTAGGGAGGCTACCAGCATCAGAAATAATCCTCGACAGCCAAGTAAGATTATGCTTCTTCTAACTGCTGACTCACGGGCTCTAGAGTCCAGCAGCTACACAAAGAAAGCTTTAGGAAAAAAAAAAAAAAAAAAAAAAAAAAGATGGAACAGGCAAGAACTAGGGAAAATAAACCTCTACTGCTGCAATGTACAGACCCTAATGCGTAACAGCAGCAGAGAAACAAAAGAGCAGTGCTGATGCAGTAAGCCTGAGGTTGTTCATTCCACCAAGGAACAGCTTTGTCAGTCTATGCCAAAAAAATGACACAGTTTTCATTTTAAATCTTTTAAGTGTCAGTTCCTGCCCCATTCTGGGAATGACCAGCTTGGCACTGTTAAAACTAAATGAAGAGTCTTTATTCTGAAACAAGGCAGCTCACCATCATAGTTCGCTTGAGATCTTCTTCTGGGACACGGCCAGCACAAAACATGTCTCTATCTGCAAAATACTGAGTAGCCACATCACCGATAGGAAGTTTGGACAGGACGACTTTGGCTCCCGACTTGTGGATTTTGTCTAGCTTGTCATACAAGATGTTCCACTCTGCATCCACGATGGCCTGGTAATCCTAGCAGGGACAGGAGAGAAAGGGACAAGCACTCACATTACAAAGGGTTGCAAACGCCATCCCGCAGCGCCTGCGAAGGGAGATCGCGTCTGAAACGAAGGCAGCAGCGACGCTGCTCTGGGCAGCCCTGGCAGACAACTGCTTTCCAAGGCTCACAGGTGATTTTAGGTCACTTCATTTTATGCCAAAGAGCCGTGTCTGTTAACATGCTTCCAAGCAGCAGAACTGAGTCAATAAAGGGGCTGGATGAACTGACAGGGAGGCAGCGACGGCTCAGGAGTGAGCACAAGGAGGAAGAAGGGATTATACCCATGCCTGAGAAGTGTTTACAGAACTGTGGATGGATGTCGGGGTGGACAGACTTATAGTGTCTATCACAGAGGAAAAACACAGATCCTGAGAAACCTCATGCTTTACCAGCACGCTCAGGCTTCACAAGCCTGCTGAGTTCTAGCTGCCAGTGAAACACAGGCAGCTGGGAAGGCTTACAAAAGCAGACAGCGACACCCCACACAGCAGCCGACTACAACAGGAAAGACAGTCGTGTTCACCACAGCAGCAAGGGGGACTTCAAGGAAACACTTATTAAGACCACAATGGGGCCAAGACCCCAAAAGCAAAGCACCCAGAGATCTTTAGGTATCACAATTATGCAGGAATCAAATGCATGCAACGTTGCAGCACTTTCCAAGAAGGTGTTTGAGAACAACCATGTTCCATACAGGTGTTTTAACAAGATGGAAAGAGAACTACTGTCCAAATGGCTCCCTTGTTTGCTTAAGTATGCAGAGGCTTTTCCAGCATTTAAAGCACTGCTTAATAAGCTGGAACGTGTCCAGAGAAGGGCAGCGGAGCTGGGGAGGGGTCTGGAGCCCCAGGCTGCTGGGGAGCGGCTGGGGGAGCTGGGGGGGTTCAGCCTGGAGCAGAGGAGGCTGAGGGAGCCCTCATGCTGGAAGGGGCTGCCCAGGGAAGGGGTCGAGTCCCCAGCCCTGGGGGGATTTAACAGCCGGGAAGAGGCGGTGCTGAGGGCCAGGGCTTGGGGGTGGGATGGCAGGGGTAGGGGAACGGTTGGGCTGGGGGAGCTTAAAGGGCTTTGCCAACCCAAACGATTCTGTGATTCTAAGCTTTCCCTGGAAGGCCACTTGTTCGGTGTCACCACACAGCTGATGACTTATCACGGCTTAGCTGAGGCACAATGACTGAGCAGAAACATGCCCTAAAGCTGCCGTAATTCAAAGCCTGCCATACCCTTCTCCCAAACAAGGCAGCATAGCCCACCAGCTATTTTCAGGGGGAGAAGGATGTGCAGAAGGCAATCCCCTTTATCCCACTGGCTCTCAAGCAGCCACCACGTCTTGCGGGCAGGAGGAAGGGGGACAGGCTCCCCTTTTGGCTCTTACCTCCACCGTGTTTACTCTGACTTCAGCATTGTCCTTCTCAGCTTTGAGCTCCAGCTCCACATTCAGCAAGGCGATCTTGGGAGACTGATACTTCTTGGGCTGCATTTCAAACCCAGCGTAAGAGAATGTCTTCTTGAAGGCAACCCCGGCCACCAGCTGAGAGTCCTTGAAGACAGGGATTTGTGTTAGGCTTGGCCTCCCAAGGTTTTCTCAACAGGGTTAGTAGCTCCCACAGGAGACTCCCTGCTTTCAGAGTCCTCATTTACAAAGCGCTCACCAACAGCTGTCTCCTTTGATTAACCCACTTTTAGAGAAAACAAGCAGCAAATTTTTACTTCTCTGTTCACAAAACCAGCTTCTATCACTTCCTTTCTACCCCCTCAAGACACCACAGCAAAAGATGCTATACACAACCTGAAGATCAAGGGATGGAGCAATCTGTTCTCTCTCTGATGTCCTTCCCGTTTCTACCCTTTGAAGATGGATACCTCTCATCCACAGCCCCACACCTGGGGGTTTTGTTGCCCTGGTTTGGTTTTCCAAGCTCCATCAGCACCTCTGGGAATTGTTTTGCAGCAGGACTGCCCTGCCCAGCGCTGGCCACTGAAGCCATCTTCTTGACTTCATGGCTGGGAGAGAGATCAGCATCTAAACCTCCTACCCCATGAGCAGACCCAACCAGACTTGGCTCTGCCCAGTCACTGAAGCCCAGAGGGTCCCTGCCCCTCCTTAAGCTAGGACAAGCACAGACTTTCTCTGCTCTCGCCGACAGGGTGAGATGATCTAGGATCTCTCACAAGCCAACCCTGAAAAGCAACAATGCTAAATTATCTGCCCCATCCTGACTGAGGAATACAAGGGCCAAACAATACGGAGCAGGGAAAACCGCTTTTATCCAGAACAGGAGACACCGCCCTCCGCAGGGGACCAATTTCTGCAAGCCTGAGAACACCAGCAGGCCCAGACACCACACAAACAGATGCTGAAACGTTCCTAATTCACTAAATTAGTTGTCTGGGCAAGACAATAGCGTAATTATAACGTCTCTTCTCAACGAAAATGCTCACGCAGAGTGTTTACAGACAGTAACAGCCACAGAGGAGTAATTCACAGAGACTGCGCCGGGCTTTATTTTTCAGCAGAAGGGTCCCAAGGGAGGGGCCAAACCTATGCAGGATGCAGGCAGGAGAGAGCACGGACACACCAGCTGTGCCACAGCCCAAGAACAACTCCCTCCCACGTACCCACCTGCAGTCCCATACGTGACAGGTATATTCCAGCACTGGGGTATAAACCACGCAGCCCATCTGCCCTGCCTGCTGCTAGATCAGCATCTTTGCAAGGTTTTCTTTGCATTTTTCCCAACCCGGTACTCATGCATACAATCAGGACTGCGTGGCTTTTGGTTCCAGAAGTAACAAAGACTTCCCACAAAAAAAAAAAAAAAAAGAGAATATTTCATCATTTGAAAAGATATAAATTTGCACAAGTAATAACATTCGCTGCAGAGGGCAGTGAGATAAGAGCATATTTGGCTCAAAAAAAAACAATAAACCAAAAAACTAGATATTCTCTACCTACAGAAAAGAAATCCACAGCCCTACTCGCTAAGCTTTTTCCTCCCAGCAACAGCTTTGTTTCACTTTGGTAAATCCCAAACGTGCACTATCAAGCTGGGCTGCATTTCTGCTAGAGTCGACCCATCAAAGGAGCTGCGATCGCCATCTCCGACCCTTTTGGGACAGGCTCTGACAGAACTTACTTCCAAAGCGCCTCCTTGCACCTTCTTGATTCCAATCATTTTGAGTTGTAACAAGTCGTCTAACATCATGACAGCATCTACGACCATCTTGGAGAAAAACTCCTTGCTTTGAGAGATCAGCTTAGAGCTCAGGGCTGTGGCTGCACATTTCTCCAGCAGGCTTCTCTGCTCACTGCAAGAAAAAAAAAGAAAATACCAAAGTCTTGTGTGGTCTTGTGTACTTGCTGATTCTTTTCACAAGCTCACAAAAACACCGCATATGGCATGATTAATCTGCTCTGATAGAGGCAAAGATCAGCCCCCTTCTACCAACAGGGAAAGCGAGGCACACATGTGGCAAAGTACAATTCTCCCTGAGAATCTAGCTGACCAGGTCTGTTGGTTTTTAGACACCACAGGCCTGAGTGTAACGGCAGGGCTCAGCATCTTCTCCTTCATCCAAAGGCAGTAAGAAGATTCTGAAACCCTGTAAAGGTGGCACGTTCTCTGAAGTATTAACTCAGGTAATGTATGCCGTAACTGAGCGGATGCTGCAAGGGACACTGGGGAAATACGGATCCAGCTCCCAGGCTCTATCACTCAAGTTACTGCTGACCCGAGAATTGCTGTATTTCGCATCACAGGACAGTAGAAAGGATACAACTCATTTTGATTTATTATTATAAAAAGCAATCTGATTTTCAGATAAGCGCTGAGGATTCAACACCGCCACTGACTGCAGCAAAAGCTGCAAGTCTCCACCACCGCTGGAACAAAGAAATCAGGCCACTTATTTCGGTACCTAGTTTCCTCCATGCGCACTGGAAGACACTGGCCTACATTACTTCGCTGCAGCCCAAGTGAGAGCATGGCATCTCCCCCGGAGGGGCAGGAAACTCCAAAACCTCCAGAATAACCCAATGTGGGGCCTCAGCTGTTCAGCCCAACCTCCATACCTCAGCCAGAGCCAGAGCAGACGTCAGAAGCACCCTCACACCAGCTACCTGAAGCCCAGCTACACAACCAGGTCACCCCTATGGGAAACTTACTCTTTATCTTCCTTCTTCACAGTAACAGCAATGTCTTTGATCTTGTTTACAGCCTGTCAAAACACAAGCCAACAGCTGGATTAATGATTCATGCTCGTAAATTGATCCGATCTCCAACTTTTCTCTTTGTATTCTATGTTACCTTTTATTCCCTACCACAGCATTGCCGAAGTTTCAAGCATTTAAGCTTTTCCACCCATTCCAGCACAGTAATTCAAGAAACACATCAACATAAGTTTAAGAGGATCGGGAAGAGGCTCATAGCTGCTCCACTGTTTTCAGCAGAGATCTGGGGAACCAAAGGGCTACTGAAGGAGTTAACGGGACCGATGTGCTTCATGAGATGTAAGGTTTACCACAGAGTAGCAGCAATCAGGAGAATGGGGAACGAATTTTCATTTCAAAATGAGCAAAACCAAAGGAAGTAATAGCGCCCTAGAGGTACTAGCTGGTAATAATGGCTCACTGACACCAGAGAAGGCAGCTGATGTCAGCCGTAAGACGTGGTGAGACTGCTACTGTCACCCCCCCATGCCCATTTTGCCTGGAAGTGTGTTACATTTTCCTCTTTGGCACAGAACTCCCCTCCCCACAGGTACTGGTGGAGCCCAATACACCCCTCAGCTCTGCAGCAGCTGCAGGAGGGCGAGGCTGCTACAGGCAGCACTGCCTTACCAGCTGCGTTGCTGTGCGGAAGGCACGGATGATGATTTGAGGATGGAGACCTTCCTCCACGTAGGGCTTCACTTGTTTCAGGAACTCAGCAGCGAGCAGAGTTACGGACGTGGTACCATCACCAACCTGCAAGGAGAGGAAACTCTCTGATGTCACCCACACACTGCACTGTGACAGCAGCTTCAAAACCCTGCAAGGGCTTCCAGGTGAAATCACATTTCATAATTTTCTCTGTTCACAGATTTATGGATGGATTTTTTTTAGTGATTAAGAAGGGCTGGGTTCAGACTGCAGCCCATTTGAGGGTGAAGTCTCATTTCCCAGTCACCTATGTTCATGAAACATGAACCCTGTATCTCTGAAGTTTCCAAACCTCCCCCATCAGATCTGGCTGAAACAGCATAAAAAGATTTTAAAGTTACCACAAAAGAGAAGGCATCGATAATGAAACCAGAATAAATGCCAGCACTCCATGAGCAATTCCCACCCATTAACACAAAGTCCACACAAGCACTGGCAGGAGCAAGCTCGCTGCCGTGTGTTACGCTTCGAGCCCAGCCAGGCCACCCTCCTACCTCTGCATCTTGAGATTTGGCGATGTCCACTAACGTCTTTGCAGCCGGATGGACAACATCGAGGAGCTTCAGGATGGTGGCACCGTCATTAGAGATGGTGGCTTTGCCTAGGATTAACATACAAAAGGAAGTTCAAGCTCGACTGCCACGAGTGAAGCCCTGGTCGCTCCAAAAGGGCACCCCAACACCCAAGGGAGCTTTTCAGCCCTCAGGGAGACGTTAACGCACCGATAACTTCAGACTAGCCAGTCTCACTCTGCTTCACCAGTTCACCTTCCAGGTCAGATGTCTCCCCAACCTCTTACTACGCTACAGCGTTCCCCAGTCAAGCCCTGGTCCTGCATCATGGTGAATTTTGTTATGTCCCATCCCAAATTTCCACTTGGAAGTCATTTTTCTTCAGCCAGATGACTGGGGTTTCTTCTCCTATGTGATTTGAGACGCGATTACCATGATATCTTAATACGCTCCTACAGCCAGCTACACAACTATAAAGTGGCTGAAAAGGAAAGTCGGGGGGGTCACCGCCAGAGAGGGGGAGCCCAGAAAAGCTGTTCCACAGAGGGTATCTCAGCAGCTGCCTCCATTCCATACTAACAGCATCTTTTTAGTCCAATTTTGGAGCAGATTAAGTGAATTTAGTCTGAGTGTAGAACAACCCTTCCCACCAATTAACACAAGCTTTAAACTCATTTCCCTCTTAGTTCTCAGTAGCCTCCCCAGATAAAAACAGGTATTCTGGTCTGAAGAAAGAGACTACAAATCAATCGTAGTAGTTATTCGGTAAATTTAAATCCAATTCTCCTTTTTAATAAAAGTTATTACAGTTCCTATTCATAAAAACTATTTAAAGACAATACTAAGACCTTCCTTCCCACCCTTTAGTTCAAGCAATAAAAACCCACAAACAAGACATTTCTTCAGTGACTTCATACAAGTCTTTTCAGGAGCAGGGAAGCAAATCTCATCCCTAAATCACAACAGAAAAAAAAACCCCAAATAATCAACCCGGTGACATCCACTGACCTCACGCTCAGCGACAAGGGCTGAATAACTCCACATATATTATGAGCCTCGTTTAAAAAATAAATAAATAGAAATGGTCAGGGGTGGCTGAATACCAGGTTCAAGACACACTGTTTCTCCTTTCTGATACAGACCTTCTCATATCTAGTCCCACCAACCCAGCCTCACAATGAAGACAATGGCTGCCTTAACTCAGGCTTGCAGGCAGCCAACAGGCAGCTCTTCAGGTGGGTCTACCAGTTATCTTGTTCTCAACAGCAGAGGCCAGAGTCAAGGTGTTAAACTGAACACTGAGAGCGAGCCTGAACCTCTGTTGTGAAAGTTAAGTTTAGTATGGGGCAAGGGAGTTGGAGTCTGCATCTACGCAAATGCTGTTTTTAATCGACATGAAGACGTATCGCTCCCTACAACTGCCTGACAGGACGGGGGAGCCAGGTGGGGGTTGGTCTCTTCTCCCAACTAACAAGCAACAGGATGAGAGGAAATGGCCTCAAGTTGTGCCAGGGCAGGTTTAAGTTGGACATTAGGACAAATTTCTTCCCCGAAAGGGCTGTCAAGCACGGGAAGGGGCTGCCCAGGGAAGAGGTCGAGTCCCCATCCCTGGGGGGATTTAAAAGCCAGGCAGACGAGGTGCTTAGGGACAGGGTTTAGTGGTGGACAGGTACAGTTGTGCTCAATGATCTTAAAGGTCTTTTCCAACCAAATGATTCTATGAATAAATACGCACGTTACCAGCATGCGCTGCACTTGCAGATTATTTCCAAGTCACTTTTTTACCTGCCTGCAAGAGGCCATTGCCCAGTGCTTACCCCGGTCATCCACAATGAGCTTGTCCATGCCCCGAGGCCCCAGGGTAGTGCGCACGGCTTCTGCAATAACCTGGCAGGCATTGATGTTGCTGACAAGCTGGGGGATCCCCTGTGAGGTG